CTACATGACCTCCTGATCAGCACCAAAGAGCCGATCGTTCAGTCCTCGCGGACAAGGCTCATTCAGCAAACCTTCATGCTTGTCCGTCCCTGGGATCGGTCCCTCCTTGAGCTACCTGACGTTGCAGATCTGTCCGACGTTGGGGACGATGTGGAGAACGAGGGGGATTATTGGACTCCACTTTCTTCTCCGTCAGACGACTCACCTAGTCGTTCTCTTCTAAAACAGGAGGTGGTTGATCTGGAATCACGAGCATTGCGGTTGCTTGTTCGCCTTGGGCAGCCTTTCGGGGCATTTTTGCTAGCGCGGCAGCGCGGCGGAGAATACAGGAGGGTTGCGTCGGATCGTGACATCATCGCACAGGTCAAAGATGTGGCTTCTGTTGTCGACCTCATGGACATCAGGACGATAGAAATACTGTAGCTGTATGTTTTCCCCGAGGATTAGGGATCTGAGCGGTTTTTATTGGTACTTGCTACTCATACATGCATGCATATGTAAATATTGGACTATAGTTTCCTTTCAAAGCGGGCCATGGGGACCTATCCGCACCACTTCTCCGTCCTACACCACTAGATTAATACCCGAACATGCTCATTACACCTACCTGCATGGGTGCTCAGGTTTCATGTCTCGTTCGCTCACACCCTTCATCCTTGAGAATTATTTGTGAGTGGGACTGACACGCGTGAGCTTTTGATAGAGTCATGCACAGGGCCGTCTAACTTTACTGCTCTGCGTTTGATATTCCCTTCCAAGTGTCTTCATCCCATCGTGATCATCGTCATCTACCCTCTCGAGAGTTTTACTCACTTGTGCGATCACTTCGGTTACCTTGCAAACAAATATCGATATATCAACTCCCGCATTTGCTAAACATCAATTCCATTAAAACACGCAGTGCAACGCAAAACTGAGATCAAGTGGTGGCTCTCGGACCTCCTGCTGCATTTCGGGCATCAAGCAGGGCGAAGAATCTTTATCCCATGGCACTGTCATCCAACACAGCACTCAGTCGATCCTCCTCCGACTCAGTGTCTTGATATATTGAGGACATAGTGGGGCTTTACCTGCCATTCTTGCAGCCCAATTCCTCCCCGCCATCCCAAAGTGAAACATGAAACCAGCCCGCAGATGAATCAAGTACACATGATGCATTCGTACCTATGCAGGCTAACATCCGTGGAAGATATTTCGTCAGGCTTCCGTTTGTAGCGTTGATGTGCCACGATGAAGGACGGAGTCTTCATTACAGCCCTTGGCGCCTGTTCAGGTGCGATATTTTTGTCCCGTATCTTGTATATCTTTCTAATTCCGCAGTAAGATTTGGCAGGGAAATAGAAATAGGATATTTGAAAATGTTGTTTGATATGCAAGTCATGTAACCTATCAAGGTCTCCGTGACTAATGGACTCCGAGTCTGGTGGATCTTATCAGTCGGCAGCTTTTCTTGCCCTTTTCACGTGTCCTCAAATTTGGGTTTTGCAGTGGACAACACTGCAGATGTAGGATGTTGTGTTAGTGTGGAGAACTCTGGGATGGACCTTGCATCGCTTGGATTGGGATGATGTTACTGTTATTGGTAGTTTTAGATTTGGGGTGGCGGTGGTGCAGAGACGCCGAGTCTGTATAATGAGACTCGGCTGCATGCTGCATGTGGTGCACGCATGGGATCTTGGGAGCCTACGGGATGAAGAAGTGATATCACAGTAAGCTATATGCACGGGTGTGGACAAGTTATATGTTGATGTGCTGGAGTCGTTGCTCGCCATGAAACACCAAAATTCACGCGGTCATCCAGGATAGATGCGATGGGATACTTATTGGAAGATGCGGCGATAACAGTTGGGCCCCATGATGTACACAGTGCAGAGGCGCCAAGAGCATATATTACCGAGAAAAGCGGTTATGATAATAGGCGTAACCGTGATAATGATGGAGGCGAACATCTTCGTGTCCTGGGCGTCTATGGCGTAAGACAGATTAGCGCTGTAAAGCAGCATAAAACGCACAATACACGTACGTCTGCAGCTTGGAGCAAGAGACCCATGATCCCTCCAAAGTCCACCTCAACCCCATCAACCTCCAACAAAATGCCGAACCTCATTCCAATCACTACATCCCTGCGAGAGTACAAAGGCCATGAAGGACGAGTAAGGGCAGTCGCAGTGATCCCCGACAACGACGGATGGTTACAGGCTCGGATGACAAGACACTTCGTCTATGGGATTTGGATACAGGTATTGTGTTGCGGAAGATGGAAGGGCATAGCAGTGAGGTTTGGAGATTGGTGGTATCACGAGATGGTCAATTGATTGCAAGTGGTGACGCTGGCGGAGTGTTTATCGTCTGGCATGGAGGAACTGGCAAACGACTCACCCGACCCATCAAAGCTCACTCCAATGTGATCTACTCGCTGGATTTTTCTCCTGATGGAACGGTGCTGGTCACTGGTTCAGGGGACGGGGTGATGAAACTGTGGAATACCAAAACCTGGGAGCAACGAGGAAAACCAATCGAGTGTGGCTATGTCCGTTGCATCCGATATTCGCCATCTGGAGAACTTCTTGCCATCGCAACAAAAAACAACATCCAAATCTATAAGCCAGACACAAGGGAACACGTCAGATCCTTCAAGGCTCACAGATCAGAAAACTTCTCGCTCGCATGGACTCCTGATGGCTCACACCTTCTCACAGGCGGCGATAAAGACAATCCTACCATATGCGAATGGGATGCAACAACTTCTTGGCAGCAGGTCGGTGATCCCTGGACAGGTCACACTAGTCAGATCCATGCCATCGTCATTGACCCTACTGGTACACTTGTTGCATCTGCATCTAATGACCAGCATGTCCGTCTCTGGCGGCTCTCAGATCAACAAACCGTTGCCACCTTCAAGCACGCATCCTCGACAGGATCCGTCACTTTCTCCGTGGACAGCAAGCACATCCTCAGCAGAAGTGATAAAATAATCTCAGAGTGGGCAGTACCCAACGACATCAATTCAAAGGCATGTTTTCGTCCTTGACTCATACACCACAACTCGAGCATGTTTTGTGCAGATCCTAGCCATCACGACAGCCCGCATTGCATGCATAGATGGAGATTTGTCTACTGCCGAAGAACTACTCACGCAGGAGATCGACAACGATGCCAACAACTATACTTCCTATGCCAATCGTTCCTTCGTTATGGCGCGAGAACGTGACTGGGACCACGCTCTTCAGGATGCAATCAAGGTGAAATTCACAGACTTATCATCGCTCCTCATCAAAGGCTAACTCGACGGTGATGTAGTCCATCAGCATTCAGCCCTCATTGACTGGCTATATCTCCAAGGGTATCGCCCTCTGCGGAAAAGGCGACATTCGGGACGCAAGGGTAGCATTTGATGTTGCATTCATGTACACAGACCAAAATCCAGAAACCGTTCATTTTCTGCTCTTGATCAAGGTACGTTACAGTTGCCTCGCATACAATTTTGTTCATTCTTTGTTTCAGGCCATTGCTCTCTTCAATGCAGATCAAGATGACGAGGCAAACCTGCTCCTCAAAGAACTTACTACCGGTTGTCCGAATGTCGATACGCGTGCACGTCGTATCGTGGAAGTAAGTGTCATGCAGCCGCGTTGGTCACCAACACTAAGATTCTTTCCAACTCGCACATTAGACATATCTACGTGTTCAACTCGGAATCAAAGCCATGGATGGCACACGTCATAATGAAGCCGTTGATCATTTCACTGCTGCTCTCGACTCCGGCAACTTATCATCGAAATCGGACATTCATGAAATATACGAGGACTTGGTGGTGGTTTGTTGATACACATTCGAAATGCTTTTCATGACTGAATTCCATATGCAGCTCTTCGGCTGGGATCTCAAATCCTTGTGGCTCACTGCACACCAGAAACGGTGTCAGGCTTTCCTTTCCGCAGGCAAAGCCGATGAAGCCCTCAACTCACACAAATTTATGATGGGCAGCGTCGACGAAACAACGAAGGCGATCTGCCTTGACTGGTCCACTGGTAAGTATTCAGTAATGTCATCCGAGGTTCCAATCCTCACCTATGTTTCACTCAGCTTTCAAGCAAGAATGCAGCGCGCTCCTTCTTACCAGCGGAGATACTGCCCTCGCTGCAAGCGATTATGACAGGGCTATTGACCTCTACTCGGTAGTGATCGACCTGAATTCTGCATCTGATGCCGTCTTCGTAAAGCGCAGTAAGGCAAGGTTGGGGAAAAAGCTTTGGACGGAAGCACTTCTCGATGCGCAGAAGGTACGATGGCATTTATCCGTTTTAACCTAGACTTATTGCGGTGACACATAGGTCAGCGAACTCAACTCTTCATCTTATCTCGGATACATTCTGGAGCACGCAGCGCTTCATGGCGCACAACGCTACGATGAAGCGATACAAGCCTTCCAAACAATGCTTTCAAAATTGGATAATGCTCCCGACACTGAGACAAGAAGTAATCCCCAACAACTCATACGTCAACATGCTTTAACTGTTTCTGCAGAATTGCGCCAGCAGTATCTCAGTCCATCCGAAGTGGACCGTACTATTCAGAGGGTCATTGATGCTCAACTTGACAATGCGCCGCTGCGTGTACTCGACACCACCACCGGTCTCTTATGCGATCAAGAGGCGCAAATAAGCGCCTTCAAATCGAGTACAGAGTATAGAGAACTTGTGTCGTCAACAATCACGCATCGAGATATCGAAACGAAGCGCGTCGAAGAAGTGGTGAGGACATACTTCCAATATGTTATGTTGTCACACAGGTGGGAAGGAGAGGAGCCGCTGTTGCAGGATATACAGGGCAAGGACATCCGTAAGTTGAATCCGGTTGGCGGCATTAAGAAGTTGCAGTCCTTCTGCAAAACTGCTCGTGATTTGGGGTATCGCTGGGCATGGAGCGATACATGCTGCATCGACAAGAACAATGATGCCGAGCTCCAAGTATCGGTCAAGTCCATGTTCGTCTGGTATCATCACTCAGCACTCACAGTCGTATACCTCTCTGATGTTCCACCTTCGTTAAAGCCTGGCGCACTGACAAAGAGCGCTTGGAACACACGCGGATGGACAGTTCAAGAATTCCTCGCTCCCAAAGTCATTCTCTTCTATCAGAAGGATTGGACTCTTTATCTCGACGATCGCACTCTGAACCACAAGTATTCCGACGCGATAATGCAGGAATTGGAGGACGCGACGGGTATAAATCGACGAGCTGTCGTGGCCTTCCGTCCCGGGATGAGAGATGCCCGAGAGAAACTGCAGTGGGCATCGACACGTACTACCAAATTGCCAGAAGATATTGCATACTCGTTATCCGGCGTCTTTGGTATCCGCCTACGTGTTGATTATGGCGAGAAGAAGCAGAACGCACTTGGGCGGCTCCTGCAGGAAATTGTAGCTCAGTCAGGCGACATTACTGCCCTGGACTGGGTCGGAAAGTCATCAGAGTTCAACAGCTGTCTACCAGCTGACATCGTTTCATATGAAGCTCCACCATGCAAACTGCTATCTCTATCCAGAGATGAGATTCAGTCATCAGTCTCTTCGCTGCGAGGTGTTGTGACTCTTGAGTCCGCGTCGAAATTGTATCAGACGCTAGACCACCTGAGTGCTCCCCGTTTTGCGCACTGTCGGTTGCATCTGCCCTGCATCGTATTCCCAGTCACAGAAGCCAGCCGGAGGCCAGCTCGAGACCAGGACACATATGTGTATGCAGTCAAATCAGATGGGCTTCGTGATCTGCAGATCACCATGGAAGACAAGTTCATCCCGTTCTCGCCTGCAAGGCCGCCTCCCGCTTGGCAGACGATCTTGCTTGTTCGTCCATGGAGTCGCCATCTCCTCGAACTGCATGACCCTGCAGAAGATCTACCCGCTGCACAAGATAT